AAGAAAAAAAAAAAGAAAGAGTAAAAACATAAACGCAGACTTAGGATATCTCTCAGTAATTTTTTTTTCTTAAGGTAAGGTAAGGGGAAGGAGACCTTTATCTTTTTAAATTCTATATACTATTATATTTATTTATTTTATGTTATATATATATATATATGTGTGTGTGTGTGTGTATTTACTTTGTGAGGTGTCCCTAACCTCATTTACTTGCTTAATCTATGATACTTTTTTTACTTTAAATAATTAATAAAGTGTTACTAGTTTATGTTATTTATCACTATCATTTACTTGATTAATATTCTTTAATACATTCCATTTACGTAAACTATATTACATTAAATTTTAAATAATTAAAAATAATCAAACTTATTTAGCTTAATTATTTTTATATTAATATTAACTAAAATATAGTTTTGTTAAAATATCCTAAGCTCATCTTGCTATTTCTTCATACATTATAAAGATAAATGTTATTCTATGGCCATAAGGAATAAAGTTTGAATTAATTTGTAGTTGGAAATTTGACCTTGAGGATTTAAATGAGTAAGGACTTAAGGTGAAATATCCATTATTTGAAGCTTCAAACGCAAATCGTAGCGATTGCTCAAGAATCAATCCTGTTGGTCCCTCTAAAATTATACCAGCACCACTGCCCTGGTTGTTCGAGGAGCCATCCACATGCATCGTCCATAAATCATTCTCGAAACAACCCCTTGGCTGTAATTCATTGACAAACTCTGCCAAATACTAGGACTTGATCGGCCCTCGTGGCTCAAATCCAATGTCAAACTATTCTATGGCCATAAGGAATAAAGTTTGAATTAATTTGTAGTTGGAAATTTGACCTTGAGGATTTAAATGAGTAAGGACTTAAGGTGAAATATCCATTTGTTGGTTGATATTATTATAATATTCATTTATCCTAACTAGTCACTACTAAAATAAATTCAAATTTATTATACCATGAAAATCTAATATATATATATATATATATATATATATATGGGATGAAGACGTTGCCCCCTGGTCACGTTAGTCACATTATCGGGATTGGAATTTTCTTGTTATACATCTACGTGATTATTATTGTTCGTGCCTGTTTCTCTATTAGATGTAGACATTGTTCTTCCACTCCTAAGTCTCATGCAACACACATACCCAAAACTAGTCCAATTATGTTTGATTTAAACACGTCCCACCGGGCGTGCCAATTTGTTTACGGTGGAATTAGTTTTATGGATTCTTTTTAGTCGAACTAGCACGATAAACGTTTCAATTTAGGTATGTTGATGTTTTAAATTTTACGGAACGAGAAGAGGAGTAGGAAGACTAATAATTACTTTTTTCTAACAATTCTTCAACAATTAACAAGTAACAATTTCTATACACATAAATGCTAAGATGAACGGAATGGATAATGGAGATACTTGCAATACAAATCATGGTTCACCTTGCATAATGTTCCAGAATTACAATATCAAAGTGATATAACTACGTGATTAAAAGAAATAACTAAGAGAACTATGCTAATTTTACTCCTAAAAAGCAAAAGAAAAGTGGCCGAGAATTAGTCATACAAAAAACGATTCCTCGCATGAAAGCCATATGCGCAGGCAAAGAGTGCTTCAGATCTGTCTTAGTATGAGTTTTTCCGACCCTGTGACAATGCAGACTTCTTGAATTTATAGAATGAATCAATGAAGGTTAAGTCACTTAGACACTCGTGCACGTAGGCCACTATGAGATAACCGCTATCCACTACGCTCATTATGTGGTTCCTAAAGTGTAACTTCTCACAACCGCTCTTCGCGTACACTAACTTCTCGACCTGGACGCTAACCATTTTTGTATGATCATAAACACCTATACACAATCTCGAACATATCATTATTCAACTCGAAATAATTATTTTCGATCTCAAATCAGTTGTTATCAGGTAGGAGTTGATCTCAATACTTCCACTAATATGTTCCAAACAGGTGTTTATCTTCCTCCTTTTTCGATTAGCTTCATCAGTATATTTTTCGACTTTCATGGTTTTCGAGTAATCATAACAAATGCCCCCCTAGGAATTCATTGTCGATGAACATATTGAGTAAATAGAACTGAATTCCTATCGGGAACTATCTTTAATGTTCTCTCGAATTAGATCTCCTTGTTAATGGCTTGTATCTCTTCGATGTAACCCTATTTCTGACCCCTATTTAATGTGGTGACCGTTATGATGTGATATTAACTCCCCTGGCGGCGCGTGATTGCGTATTCCCAGTTTTCATCATTGTGAAGCGGTTTTTTGGCTCCCTGATTGACCAATGTTTTCTTAACAATGCAATTGTGGATCTCCACGCTGATAACCATCGGATCATCTTGCTCCGGATCAATACCCTTGAAATCGACATCAGTAAAAGTTATTGATGGTAATCTCCGCGAAGGCTGTCTGTGTACAACATTAACCGATCGAATTGCTCTAAGATGCCTCTTTTGAGCTGAGGACGTTGAGCCTCCACCAGCAAATCCTCCTGCTATAGTATTAATCACCCTCCTATGCGATGGTGCCGAGGTATCTTTTCTTTCCCGTGATCTACTTCTTTTTCGTGACCTGCTTCTTTCACGAGGAACTCTATCGGAACGGTCCTGCCTGCGCCGATCTTGATACCGAGGTTGATATGAGCGGGTTTGGGATGATCCAGTCCGGTCCACAAAATTTTGCAATTTGCCTTGCTTAATCAAATCTTCAATTTTGTCCCTAAGGGCTGCGCACTCATCGGTAGAATGTCCACGATTACGATGATACCGACAAGACTTACTAGTGTCTGCACGTGGTGGTGTAGCTGCCCTTTTTGGGATTTTCAATACGCTCAAGTACTGCCGTACGATTGGTGTTGAGTGGAGTATATTGAGTATACTTCGGACCTCGAGTAGACCGATCCCGAAGGGATATCTCCTTGCCTCGTCCCATGTACGGCTGTTCTGTCTGCTTTTCTATCTTGCTTGAAGATTCAACTCGGGCCTAGTTACGAAATTCTTCCAATTCCTCCATTTGCATGTACTTATCAGCCCTTCTTCTTAAATCATTCATGTCCAACGGAGGTTTTTTACAAATACTTTGAATTATTTCTCTTTATGATGAATTATGTAATTGTTACCTTTAAAAGGGCTCCTCCTATTTTGAATAAAATAACCACCATTTCATATTCTCTTTTCTCGTTTTATTATCAGGCAGATCCATCTATTTTCCACTATAATTAATTCAAATATTTTTTAAAATAATAAAGAAAATAAGGAGTGAGAACAATTATTCAATAAATATAAATAATTCAATAGAATGTATAGAGTTATTTATAACCAACATTAAATATAGAAATATATATATATATATATATATATATATAGAAAAAAAAAGAGGAAGAAAATATAAAAAGAGTGGAAAAAGGGAAAAAGAAAATGCAAGAAATAATGAGGAAATAAAACAATTACTTGCAAAATTAGTTGAAGGGAGAGAAACTAGTGGATCCAAACCTAGGGTTGTTCCAACTAGGTATCAAAAAGATAAAGAGGTTAGAATCCCTAAGAGTGTGCATGAGGAAGAAAGTACAAAAAGAGAGGAAGAACTTAGAAGAAAGGAAAAAGAAAAGAAAATAAAAATAAAGAAAGAAAACAAGAAGAAAAGTATAGACAGAGTTGAAGAGTGGTTAGAAAAAGAAAAGCAAACAATACTCTTAGAGAATAGTAAAGAGAATAATATTTCTTCCAAAGGGCTTATGCTTAAAGAAAGTCACTTTACCATTGATAATGATTTGAAAAAGACTATCTTTATTCATCAAGACCTTAACACTTTCTCTCAACTTCAAGAATTAGTGAAGAAGAATTGGACTTCACTTAGTCCCACTTCTTGTGCTACTTCCTTCGTGGTGCCCAAGGAAGATAAGCCTTCTTTCTTTAAAACTCCTTCTACTTTAGTTTTCTTCATAAAGCACCCAACTTTTGGTTTGTATGGTTTGTTGGATACATCTCATGGTGTTGTATCTTCTATTTTTGATCTTGAAGGAAGTTCAAACTTATTTGAACTTAACTTGAATACTTTCCTACAAGACAAACTTAGATTATATGAGTTTCCTAGACTCCTCTTAACACCTTTTTCTCATATGTATCTAACAAATTATGCAATACAAAGTTGTTTAGGTAATTTTTTAGTTAAGTTTTCTTTATTTTCCAATACATACCTAGGTCATTACATTGGGCACTTCCAACAAGATATTTTAGTTTTTAGGACTAAT